GTCATTCCTTGCTCCAGACATGTCTGGAAAGTTAAGGTACCTTTGCGAATTAAAGTGTTTATGTGGTTTGTGCATAAAAAAGTAATTTTGACAAAGGATAATCTGGCAAAACGCAATTGGGTGGGTTCTGCTAGATGTAGTTTCTGCGATTGTAATGAAACTATCAGGCACCTCTTTCTGGATTGTCCACTGGCTAAGCTTCTTTGGCGTTCGATTCATATTGCCTTCAATATTATTCCACCTACTTCTATCAATATGTTGTTTGGAACATGGCTTGATGGGGTAGACTTGGTTTTAGCAAGACTCATTCGTGTTGGCGCGTGTGCCTTGTTATGGGCAGTATGGAACTGCAGAAATGATTTGGTTTTTAACAGAACAACGAACTTTCATTTTTTGCAGGTTATCTTCAGGGCCACAGCGTTGATCCGTATGTGGTCGCCACTCACTCCGATGGAGGACAGGGGGCATTTGGCTACTGCGTCTACCCGATGGGAGATGGTAGCTCGGGTTATTTTCAACCGGTTTGGATGGCGGTCATGTAATAGGATAGGCATGTAGTGCTCCTATTTTTTGCCAGCCGGTTGTGGCTTTATGTTTACGCTCGTCTGAGCGGCTTGTCGTCTTTTTTACTTTAAACCTGCTGAAGACTTTGTGACACTCTCTATTTTAATATTATGAGCCGTATGCATCTTATTGATGCAGAGGCTGGGGTTGCACCCCTTTTCAAAAAAAACATTGGAGGGGGGGTGGGGAGTCTAATCCTACGGCAAATTGCACGTAGATCGAACGTTGGGGAGGCGGCCTGCTGAATTTTGGCCAGGCAATCTTTAAAAATAAGAGTGGAAGGGGTGTGAATTGATGGGAAATGAGTGGAAACGATGGAAGCGACCGGACCTGCCAACACCCCTTTAATAATCAATCAACTCCTCTTTAATAATAGATAGATACTCCCTCCATCCCGAAATGTAAGACGTTTTTTGATATTATGATATATGATAGTGTTAAAAAGCGTCTTACATTTTGGGATGGACTGAGTAGATAGATAGATAGAGATAGAGATAGAAATGTTGATGGAGAATTATTATTTTGTTCCAAAAGTCTACAGGGATAATCCCTCTAAACCATGGGCTATAGCTACGCGGACTAGATGCATGGTTGAATAGCAGATTGTGTCTGCAGGTACTCAGTTCATCGTGCGTGCAACTAGTGTGGCATAATTAACTAGCATTTCTGATTAATTGATGTTAATATATAGTACCTCGGACGGGGGTTGCCCTTGACCACTTTCTGGCCGTACTTGCGCCACCGGTAGCCGTCGTCCAGCAGATCAACCTCGCTCGGCGTCTGCAGTATGATCTTGTGCTTCCTCACCACCCTCTGCCCCGCCGGACCACCCGCGCCGCTGATCAACACAAATGTACCGGCGACCCTGCCGTTAAGGTTCATTGACTGAAGAACAAAATGCCATTCCAACGAGAACGTGCATGCATGTAGCTAGTGCAGCCCACCCACCTGCCAATGTCGTGGCCCTCCTCGCCGTCATCCTCGTCGTCGCTCAGCTCGTCCTCCTGATGAGCGCTGCCGGGGGCGGCGACGTCCTCCGCTCCGGCGCGCCGGGGCTCGGGGGGCCGCGGGTGGGTGTGCCGGCCCTTGTAGGTGATCTCCTTGATGCAGCCGTCGAAGGAGCGCTCCACGATCTTCTTGACGGGGCAGGCGTCCCGGGTGCACTTGTAGTAGCTCCGCGGCGACTCGGCGTCCTTGAGCTGCTTCTGCCCGTACTTGCGCCAGTTGTAGCCGTCCTTGGCCGGCTGCTCGATGGGGGGCGCCGGCGCCGCGTGCGGGCCGCCCAGCGCCGCCGCGCGCAGCAGCTGCATGTGCATCTGCTGCTCGTGGTGGTGCGGGTACGCCGGCGTTTGGTGGAGCGTGAAGTTGCGGGGCAGCAGGGAGGAGGAGGGCGACGGCGCCATTGCCCGCGGAGGCCATTGCGGCAGCGGGTCGGCCTGGAAGTAGGACGACGACGACGACTTGTAGGGGTGGAGATTGGCGGCGAGGGGTGCCACGAAGGAGGCAGCCGTCTGGTGCTGCTGTTGCTGGTAGGACGACGTCGGCACATAGTTTGCCTGCATGAAGTGAAAATGTGTGGTTTTATCTCAGTGTGTTCTTCACATTTGTTGCTGCAAATCTAAATCTTATGGAAGTAGGATGACTACTGTACGATCAGAAGATGCAGTTAAACGCCATGGTAAACCTTGCAACCTATCGATTCCCGCAAGAAAAAGGACCTGAGATGGATCTTTTATTTACACCAAGATTATCATTCATTCTATGGAGTAATCCATGGCATATATTAATTCACAAAAACAGCAGGATAAAACAAAACTCATATCAATGGGGAATTCCTGTTTCAAGAAATTGGCGTCGAGAAGAAGGTTTCTTCTAGCTAGCTACTATAGCAGCACACAAAACCCTCTCCATTTCATTGACTTGCACCAGCGAGACCAACACCAGATTAACAGAGAAGGTAGCAGACGATCTTTGCTTACCATGGAGAACTGAGGAGTGATATTAATCGTCGGCGGGGCCACCTCCTCGACCGCCCATGCCGGCGGTGCCGGCAGCAACTGCTGGGGGTTGACGCCGGAGCCAAGAAGCGACATGTAGGATGAACCAGGATCGTAGTCGTTCCCGAACGCCGGGCCTCCGCTGCTGCCGCCGCCGCCGTCGAAGACCCGCTCCTGATGGCCCGACGAGTAAGGGGGCTGCTGGCGCATGCCGTCGCCTCGCCGATCGGCCATTGCCGTGGCTTTTTTTTTTCGTGCTGCTGCTTCTCGGTACAATGAGGAGGGAGAAGACCTGCGAGACAGGGACGCCTGCCGACCGACACAGAAGGAAATACTAGAGGCGAGGGACACCTGGAGAGTGGAGAGTGCAGACTACTCCCTCCATCCAAGCTGTGGATGAGCCGTGCCGTTAACTATATTTTTTTTCTCTTAAGTTCATTATACCCGATACGCTTGCTGGTTAATTCTCTCTAAAATTTGCTAAGTGGATCCGCGCGTGCTGTCTACAACTAGCCGCATCATTATTCTGATTTCTGAGAGAGGGCACTCATCGTCCAACATTTGTGATTCTAATTCTCATGGAGGGGCATTATCAAAACGGCATTGCGAAGAGAGCCAAATGGTTAGGAGAGCAATGGTATCCCAGCCCATTAGGGATAAAATCTTGGGTTTGTCGCTTTGACGTCTCGTAAAGAAGAAATATTCTTTCAGGCGACGGTCAGGTCGATAACGAGACGTCTGTGATAACTTTGTCAATTTCAAGACCCACCGGCTCAGTCTCGTTTCTCGGAAGAAGAAAAAAAACGGGCGTTGCGCACACGGCCGCGCTCCCCACACCGTGGACCAACGTTTTGTTCTAGTTTACGTGGACCAAACCTGGCTGTAGATGTGGGGATGACGTTGTGACCCTGCGTCAGTTCTAGTCCTTGAATCCAAAGATAACCCCATTGATCTGAAGTGTTTTTTTTTCTACTAATATTTCAGACCTCTTCCAAGCTGCTGGCTAAATATACTTTACAGCCATCATGGCCAGATGATATAAACATCAATTTGTTTGACCAAACCACAGCTCTGTCCAGCTCGGTGCCAAATAGGCTCTTTTAGCGCGTCTGCTGCTGCAATTGGTAGATAAACAAGACTTACGCTCAATCTATCTGTTATTAATAATCCATACGATTCCTAGTAGTTTTTAATCACCTTCTAGCTGTCAGTCCCTGTTCATTATAGTAATTGAAAAACAAAACAAAATGGAAGTATGGTAATGTTGAGCAAGATATTCCTGGATTTATGTCACACCAAGACAGGCTTCTGTATCATCAAAATGGAAACAAGATAGGTTTCCTTAAGTGTGAGTTTCTTCAATTCATACCACGCGAACCCTAGAACAACGATGGCTCCTTGGCAGCATTATAAAAGTTCAAATTAAAATGATGGAATTCAAGCTCCTGATTTTATTTATGCTAAGTTGCTGACATAATCATATTATTTTCTAGCCATGTAACCAATTCATTAAATTTGTTTGTTTTTGTGTGCATTTCTCTATGATTCAAGGGATTTTTAAGTTCCGGCCAACACCCACTTATGTTTCCGTCTCATTTTCGGGGTTTCTATATTTGTTTTCGCTTCTGCAAAAAAATATGGTAGCACTCAATTTCGTCCGTTTCCGCTCCGTTTTCATCCCTAAATTCAAGCTCCTGATTTTATGCAAATCCATCATTCATGATGCATTAGCTTCTACTACCTCTGTTTGGAAACAGACTGCGCTCGGAAATTCTGCATTCAAACTTCTCTTAACATTGATCACATATATAAATAATATTTTGGTTCGGCAGATGGAAGTAGTATAGTTATATTTCACATGTAAATTATCTTCATAATATAACACTGTTAACATGTTGCAAACATCTACATTAAACTGTGCACTTGTCACAAACATCGTCTATTGACGAACAGCGCGGAGTTCCTAGACCTGCTTTCGACTTATCCACTCCATTCCTTGACCACACTTTTTTTATACTCCCAAGATTTTGAAACAAAGATAGAAGAACGCGCTACTACCATCACGTTCATTACCAGTTCAGATACAGATCGCATTCCAGTAGTCAGCAAAACCAATTCTATTCGAAGATGGCATTTGAAAGGGCAGAGACAAATATGCAAATTTAAAGGTTACCATGTATTTATATGCCAAAGTAGAATTAGAAAATCAGTTAGTTTATGAATGCAAATACAAAATTTAGCCAAAGAAGAAAGAAGCAGCAGCTCGATATTTCAAGAAAAAAGTATTACCATAGAAACAATATATATATATATATATATATATATATTTATCTATCATGTATTGATCAACGTACGACAACACTAGCCAGTGAAATTACTGAAAAGCTCATAAAATTGGTGCATTACGTTTTGTACAAAGAAAAGCTTCGACTCACTGACTCATACTTTGGTCTCTAAGAAGTAGGTCGACGAAACAGCCAGACCAGCCGAGTCGAAAGTCCGCACGAGCCGCTGCCTCTTTCCTGGTGATTCCATCCAACAAAACTCCAAATTAAAAGGATCTAACTGCTCAATGCACTTGCTGATGTCTGATGGATATCCCATGTACATCCCTCCAGGTAGCAAAGTAATCTCATATCCTCCATCAAACTGAAGCAAGTTGCTATTCGCTACTCCTGTCCAGTGGATCGTTGTTGTCGTGCTAGTTCCGGTTTTCGTTGATATATTATCCTATGAAGATAAGAAACCATTGATACAAAAGTCTTTGAACAAATTTATATATATATAGTCTTTGAAGAAAATGTAGCAATACTTAGAAAACATTTCTTCCGCAGTACCTTTTGACATTGAATAAAAAAATACTACATAATTTTAGCTCGTCTAACCAGGAATTATTTTAGTGCTTATAAGACACACTGTTATGTAATAGATGTTGATGTCCGCATGGATAAAGATAAGACACCAATCCACGCACGCCATGCAACCCTTGAAATCCATTAGCTACAAGTTCAGCCCCAGTTATCTAGATCCATTTTTCTAAAACATTTGTTGGAGTTACCACTACCATAGACTCCGAAACATACCTGAACCAGCTGACCATTATTGTCCATTTCAAGGAGGACAACCGTATCAGCTTCATCGAGCGTTGCTCCATACACCCCGCTCCTCTTCGTCACAGAATGGCCCTCCCACCTTCCAAGCAGAGCATTTATCCTATCGTTGCTGGGATTCTAGTGACAAAGGATAAATGGTATACCTTTTCATGACCCTGTCGTAAGTTCATCGATACGAAGATTACAGCACTTGACCATGAGAACTCACCTCTGGATCATCAGTTGAAGAGTGTGTAAGTGGCACTATGGAGCCCTGATTTTCATGAAAAACAATAAGTGTATCGAGCACTCCATTTGGGTCCATTATGTGGAAAGCTCTTACTCGACCATTGCCATCAAGAGAGTAAATACAATTCTCACAGACAATAGATGGTTTACGAGAAGGAATCTTCAAGTTTCTGTATGAAGTCAAAACAGATGCAGTGCATCATACTATAAGGGCATCATATAATGCAGATAAACGCCGAAGGTAGTGGAATCATAATAATGTTTACCTGGGGGATTCTTCACCAGTGTCATCTTCTCCGAGCACACCGGCTCGAAGGACAGTCTCCAGCATTCCAGCAGTCTGATATCTCAACGCAAATGCCTTCTGCTCAGGAAAGAACCCTATCTGTGCACTAAACAATATAACCCCTTAGGAATGCTCGGACCTCGGAGCCAACACAAAATAAATGTCCACGAACTTCAGCCCACCTGCTGATATTTATCTACAGTGAACATGTTAGTCTCCTTGATCTTGTACTCCGCCCACTCTGGTTCGGGATCCTCCTCGTCCGCAAATGTTATCCCGGACGTAGCCTGCTTGATATACAGCCTACAACGAATCACAATTGCAGATACATCATTCAGGGATCAGGGTCCGAGGATAGGATCCACACAAAAAGTAGCAATGTAGGCCCTGGATGGTCAAAATGCTTGCAGAAATCAGCTTAGAGCTTGACTTGACTGAAGATGCAGAGGAGTGAACATAGTAACTGAAGCAGAGCAGGTGGGGGTGTAAAAATATCAACATCAGTGTCACCGGGAGCATTACGATTGCATGAGGCTGATGAGGTTGCCCTCCCCGTAGGTGCTGGCGGACAGCCGCGTGCTGATCTCCTGCTGAACCCTCCCGTGCGCGTCGAATTGCTGCACACAGACAAAAATACTTAACCAAAAATTACGGACCCGGAAGCAGGGAGGCCTTGGGGGTTATGAATGGCGGAGGGCGGCGCGTACGTACGTAGAAGATGCCGTTCCACTTGCCGACGTTGAGGTCGAAGAAGCTGCAGAGGTTGTCGATGCTCATGGCCTCGTCCTCGTCCACCTCCGGCGCGCCCGTGACGGCCGCCCGGGCGCAGAGCCGGCCGCGCCGGAGCTGGGGGAGGCGATGGTGGGGCGGCGCGGCGCAGGAGCGTCGTTGGCTCCGTGGATGCGGGACCGCGGAGGCGGCCAGCCGGAGGCCCGCCAGGGTTTCCGCCATGGCCAGTGGGGGAACGGAGTGAAGCGGGAGGAGAGAGGCGTTCGTGTTTTTGCGTTGAGCTGCTCTCTGAACCTTATCGATTCTGACCCTCGCCGTTGGTAAAGACGTATTGCAACCCAAATACGTATCCGCCATGGCAAAGCGTGTTTTTTCTTTTCCTACTTCTAATCTGGTACTATGCAGTTTCTAGCGTTAAAAGGAAAAATACAGCGCTGCGCCTGCAGGATCAAGCTCAACTCTACACTTGCATCTGAAAAAATGTCACAACTCTACACAACTGCATATAAAATACAATCATTTGCTCGAGTCAAGGCAAGGCACACCAGGATCCTCGCCTATGTAATGTGACAACAAAGCCTAAACATACATACAACAAAACACAACATACGATGGCATGAATGCTACTCTGCCCAGCTCAATAATGTTAGAGCTCGATTAATTGTATCGGTCTGGGTAAGAAGAGAGCTTCTACTCTCAGGGAGACTTCTTCCTTTTGGAATCCCGCATCGTTTCGATAAATATATGGTGCCCCTCCACCTCCAGCCTGACCAACAGAAACAAAACACACAAGGGTGTTAACTGCTTAACAAAAAAACGGACTAGCACGTGCTTTCTTCTTATACTCCCTCCGTTCCAAATTTCCAAAGTTGAACTAAAACCACGACGAGTAATTTGGAACGGAGGGAGTAGAACCGAAAAGACAAGGGAGGACACGCCAGTGACCATAGTGCTACAACAGATAAATGCCATATTCCAGATAGAAGCGCAACAGACACCAAACCCAAGGCAGATGCCAATCATAAGCCCGCAATGATCAATGTGCACAACACCCGGGCTAAGACTAGGGCAACTATGTAGCCAAAATCAAGAGAGGGTATTTTGTCGACGGGGTAGCAAGAACAATGTTTAGCATAAAGTTTCAGGCTGCCAACAAGCTCAATAATGATGAGGAAACTTTTTTTGTAGGGCCCAGTCAACATGTGCACACTGCACATTAAACTTGCAAGTGCAGACATATCTAGTCGATGCTAATCTCATTTGCAGTCATTTTTCATGCATAACTGAATATAGGTGAAGGCATGTGACTGTTACTAATGGTAGTTGTTGTGCTTAACAAATTCAAGATGAATAGAATGTTACTAATGATAAAGCAATAAGAAGATTTGTGATTTAGTAGCCACTCACACTCTGTCTGCTCCTTGATGAGTAAAGTTTGAAGCAACTGCCAAAAGTTGGCCACTATGGTTATACGCCATTGACACCACACTGCCCGAAAAGCTAGGAAACTGTACGGGTGACATGATTATACTTTCAAGTTACGAACCGAAGAACAAAAAATGAAGTACAGTATGTGATAGTAAAAATACAATTGAAAACAAAAGTAATCACAGGCACAGCCCAAAAAGTTTACTTTTATGTTTAGTTGTTCATGGCAGCATCAATCATGTAATACGTGCAATCTTAAGTCCAGATATTTAGCAAGTGTTCAGTACTTAAGAAACCTTGTGAAGAACTAATGAATAATATTGATCAACCAGATGTTTCTCCAAAATATAACAGAAACAGCCCACTTCTTTCAGTTTGCAGAATATTGTGTTCTTCTAATGGTAGTTTTGTATATTTGTGTAACATATGTCCAATGTGTATGTAAATGTGAAGTAGTCTTTTTACAATGGTTTCTCAGAAAAATTATACTAATAGGAATGGTACTCCTGCCATGATGCTCATATTTCCAATCTATTCACGACAGTTAGCTAATAGATAAAGTTTAGCAGGAGGACCTTGGGTAAGACGCCACTCTCAAGTGATGTGACACGTTTAGTGAATTTTCCACCCCATGTAACTACTTCCTTTTTAAGTCAAGCAGTATATAATCAAGATGTAATTTTTAGAAGAACCAGATATTACCTCAAGCAGCTTCTTTTTTGATAAAGCATCCCAAGCAATGGCATATCCTTCATTATCTCCAGTAACAAAAGTTTGCTTGCTGCCAACCAGAGCATACAAATTTAATTTCACTTTGAGAAGCATTGTAGTAGGAAAATGTGCAATTACAGGACTTACGATGGATGAACTGCTATACTATTTATGGGAACTAAACTGGATGTTCCATCTTTTGATCTTGGGTGACATCGAAATGTATATCTGCAAAAGCATAAATATCTCAAGAAGTTACATAGGTAATTGGTACTTCAGTTAAATCTACTTTGTTCTAGGCTTAGATTAGTCCCTCTACTTTAAAAATGCCAACTATGTTCCACAGTCAGCCCTTCGGTGAATGAATATAAGATGGACAGGAAACTGAAGCAAATGAGCAACTTATCTACTTCAGATAGAGGTTACATGACATACTCAGCAATTTTGGCATATAATGTTACTCATGTTGATTTCGATTTTATTGCATTTTACATATATGCATAATAGATACCTCCATTAGTAACAAGTGAGGCAATATGAGAAAGAGACCTAAAATGTCAATTACGGCTGTACATCATCCCAATGCAAATAAACCGGAAAAAAAAGAGAGCAGAAAGGAAGTACCAAAACTAACCCCATGTCATTGTCTACTTTATGGTCAAAATACTTCAACGCAACAGTTCCATCCATAGATCCAGCCGCGTAACCTAATAAAAAAGGTGTATCCAGCCATCAGTCAGAAATCAAGATATCTGTAATTAAAAAACAGCTACTTTAGATCAACAAATAGCACTTATTCAAGTCATCAAGCATTCAACAAAATATGTATGTGTATATATACTAGACTCCACCATCTTCCCTTGCACGATTCTGCTTCAAACATAATAACTAGCAGTTCCTAAAGAAACGTGAAATATCCATACCGTTCCACTCTGCAGAAGCACAAAGACACCGTATATGATGCTTCAGGGGGGAATCTCTTGCCTTAATCGGCGCTGTTAAATTCCTCATGTCATACCAGTAAACATCGTTCTCAACTGTGACTAATATATACATGCCACAGACTGAAAGTGATACCACCACTGAATCTAACATGAAAGTGTGGTTAGCGTTTACACTTCTTGTGTGTGTATCCCAGAAAAGTAACTTCTTGTCAAGGCTAGAAGTTACCAATTGACCTGAAAATAACATAAAAGGTACTATTAGTAAATGCAAGCTCCAATGGTAGAAGTAAATACATTAAGAAGCAACTTCGACTGTTTTGATTAATGAAAAAAATCAGTACATAGATATTTTGTATTAATCAGTAATGTCATAGTTTACAACTAAAAATCTATGAAGCTAAACCATCACTTCACCACCATCCCAGTGGTACTGTTTGAATTGGGCATTAAAAAGCTCACGTTCATTGTATAATTTCCTATTCAGTAAATGAGGATACGATACACACTGTTTTATAAAGGCATCTAATGCTCCAGGAAAAACACCCAAGAAATCGGAGAGGAGATCATTAAAATTGGCAATGCAACTGACCAGTAATCTGGGAGAACTCAGTGCTGACAACCACATCGTCATGCAGACCCACTGTATCTTGAGCCCCTGAATCCAAGTCATACCTGAGAATATTCTCATCAGCGTAAATACTAATGCATGTAGTTCCCATATAAAATAGAGAAGGCCAGGATTGAGACATTATTTTTTAGTGCAAAATGTAAAACAGCAGTGAAGGGGGCACACCAAACTTTCCTACTTCAGTTCTGATGTATATTCAATAGTGTTAATGCAGTGAAATTGTAGAAACCAAGGCAGTTTATCTGTTTGGGCTTGTTGGCTTGTAGAGTTTTACTTCTGAATTTCATGTAAGGGATGGTTGTTGGAATCGAAAAGAAAATTGGTGGAGGAAGGGCTGAGGGCTGATGAAACTAGTCATAAATCCATGCATCTGCTTCATCTGCACGGGCTAGTTTTTCAAGGACAAACAAACAGTAAAGAAATGGTGTGCTTACAATGTGGCATACAATTGCACATAGGAATGTGAAATGTAGAAAAAACATGTTAATACATTTTCAGAATATTACTCTTCAAAACTAGAAAGAAATGAATCAAAAATAAAAATAAAAGCAATTAGCATAAGTTACAGTTGATCCAGTATAGGCGTGGTATTGTTTGTTTCTCGCTTAATGCGGAAACTTCTGCATCTATTTATAAGGCCAGATGGAAAGAAGGTACACACAAATAGATATACTGGAGATAGGGAAGTGATTGCTTCATGTTCTGAACATTACATTTATACACATATGACAGAAATAACTCAACCGGGATTCATTAAATCTAACATGTCGATAAATTGGATCTTCTAATTGCCTCCATCGCCACTATTTGATCTACACTCTTTTCTCTTTTCTATATGCAGTTGGCATGCAGCATTAAATTTCAACTTTCTTCTGCCCAATACTACCTAAAACAGATAGCTAAAAGCAAAACACATAAAAGTGACTCAAACAAAACGTATTATCAGAATTCCACCCATAAAGCCAAGCAGCTCACATAGATGGGATTACATTTGTTTTGTCTAATATTTTTCATTTCCATTGTATACTTCAATTTATCTGCTGAAATAAAGTACATAGATATGTAACTGAAATTATTCTAATTTCAGAGTTTACCTTAAATAATTACAAAGGTAAATAAGACAATTCCTACTGCCATACTCTGAACAAATTCTACCAGGCTTTATGAAGTGTGAAAGTCGATACAAACAGATCTTCTAGTTGGATGGGTCAGATTTTATTTCTAGTTTTGTCTCTTAGAATTAATATGGAGCCTCGAAGGGGGCTGTAATCAGAATAGAGGACAGTACCCCTACATTTGGAAAAGAAAAAGGGTACAAACATTATGTTTCTGTCATGCTTAAGTACATGGATTTCGTGAAGTGTGGCAACTAATTGTGTTGATACCTTATTACAGATCCATCTGAACCGCCTGCGAACGCCACAGACTCATCCTTGAAGCAGCAGTCCAGAAGTGCTGCCTCGGAATTCGCCTCCAGCCGGAGAATGGATTTGTCCGCATCGTACAGCCGCAGCCCCTGCAGAACAAAGTTCCACGCGAAACTCTGTCAGGCACCTCCTCGGCAAAGATAAAGTGCCCTAATTTCATCTCAAATAAATGCATCAAATTCGGAAGCCGGGATGAGCTAAATTGGGCAAGAGTTACAG